TATGATCCTGAGGCCTGCAGGACTGAGAACTAAGAATGACTGCACTGTTGAGACCATCAGTGGTGATTGAATCATGAGACAAATATATGGTCTTAGGTCCTGTGGGTCCTGGAACCAAGAATGACTTCTGGTGAAGGTCAGCAGTTATTTACCTTACTTGACTGAGAGTGAGTGAGGGATCGGCAGCAACAATCAGACCCCTCCATTTACTGAAGAGGTGGTCCCATTTTAAAACACATTAGTAGTTTTGGAGCAGACAAATTCATGGTCATGGATCCTGATGGGATCTGAAACAAAGAATGATTGTGCTGGCAAAGGCAGTAGGAAATTACTGCTCTTCTGTGGTCAGAGTGGCGAGAGGGGTAGTAGTCTCACTGTTCAGAGTTGTGAGGCATAAAAATATGGTCATGGCTTCCATGGTCCCAGAATATTCTGATGCTGGTGCATGCCAGCTGCAAATTAGACCAGATCAGTGTGGTGGTTAGCAATCAGGCTCCAGCCAGTGAGGACAGGAGCTGTTGAGCACAGAAGCAGCAAAGGGAATCCCCATTTTTTAAGCTGCTACCAAGCAATGAGTGTGTGAAGACTTAGCTATAACTATTTGTAGTTAGGAATATCAAGTATCCAATAAGTTCAGTAATCTGTGCTACTCCTGTGTCTAGATACTAACACATGACAATATCATGATAGACTAATAGGTAGGAAGGAGGGGACGTGGTGGATATCCATATCAGTAATCATTTGTTCATTGGTTATAGTTTGTTTTTATTATCCAACCTTAAGTGATACCATCATGGCTGCAATGCAAACTTCTGAAATGAAAACAATTTAATACAGGGTAATAAATGATGTGTAGTGTATCAATGACTGTAGACAGGATTGGTAATTTGATTTTTTGAACACTGACAGATTATAAATACAAGTAACTGTAGGACTGTTGCTATTTCACACACACTGCAGTTCACTATTGCATGTACTGAGTTCTCAGTCTGCTGTGTATTCACCAGTTGTTGCCTGGTGACAAATCTCAACAGTGTCCTTTGCTTCCGTGCTTACATTCTTACTGGCAGTGACTACCTCACAACACACTCATTGCTCCAACTGTCCTGCTTATAACATCTCGGCATGGACTGCACAGGAAACACAGTTTTTCTGTAGCTTTTTCCAATTGTTGCCATACAAATATGCTTGTTGTATATTTTTTTTATCTCGCAGTCATTGCCCAGCAACAAGTCTGCATACCACAATATATTTATAAAATACGTAGCTTATTATGGTATTTTATATTATTTTTAGACAGCTTGAAACAAAATGGTGTCCACATTAAATCTCAATTTTTCTTTTGGTTTGATAGTGGTACCTAAATGAGCCATAGGAACCAGGCATGTGAAATGTTGTATAGAGATCTAATATGAACTGTTTCTGATGCATCTTGGGGTGCAACAACATATAGTCAGGCTGATGGTTGCATCATCATCATCATCATCAATAGGATGCTAGACTTCATTTTTAACACACTATTGCAGGCATGTCCAACCTATCGATCGCGGGACAATTTTTAGTCAATCTCATAGGCCTATAAGGAAATTATACGTGAAAAGCATGTAAATTCACTTGTAATATAATATGATTATATTCAGATTTTGAAGGGAAGATACGTGTTAAAGTAATCTGTACTTTCAGTGTATGTTGCTTTTACAACAAATATCATGTGTCGTGTTATTTTTACAAATATTTTTGCTTAAAGCGAGGTATGATAGGTAGGGGTGGTAGATCACTGGCAGTTTTGACATTAAAAAGTCGATCAGAACCTCTTTGAAGTTGGACATGCCTGCACTATTGCATGAGATGAGTGTGTCACCTAGCCTGAGTGTGGGTGTTGTTGAAGTTCCCAGTTGATGCAAACAAGCATGATTTAGAGGAAAAGAAACAGGTTACTCAAATCATGGTCAGAGCCTGTGATGCTTGATCCAAAAGATATGTTTATGTGTTAGTGACTAGACACAGGGTTGGAATTGGTGATTGGATTTGTTGAACACTTGTAACTACAAATAATTATAATGCCCTCACTAAACTACACACTTAAAATCACTATAGCACATGCCAAGTCTCCATTATAGTTTTTACTAGGTGTTGCATGGTAACAGCTGCTAACAGTGGGGATTCTTCAACTTCTTTGCTCACGTTGTTTGCTTTGCTCCATATTCACTTGTGGTGTAAAATCACGTTTCTCTTCCTCTTAAATTATGTTCTGTTGCTGACTCCCTGGCAAAGATACACCAGTGTCATCATGCATTGATTACAAGCAGATGAGCAGAGGAGTATGATAGCTGCAGTTGCATATTATTGTCAACACCACATTAGCTTTGACACACTGTAGTTGGAAGACCCATATGAAAAGGTGATCCTGAAGGCTCAGAGTAACAAAATTACTGTGCTCATAGTGAACCCTGGTAGAATTCTGCTTACATCATTGAGACTTAACTTCCAATCTTACAACATTGTAGAATCATATCCAGGCTTGAAGATTTACCTTTAATGTATCAAAAGAATTGTTAAGAGAATTTATTTTGAGGTGGGTGGGTCTGGAAACATACTATGAAAACAATAGCCAAGTGACCCATCTGTACTTATCATTTAAATTATAAGCAGAAAGAGCTGCATGTTACCATGGACTTATGGACTAACCATCTATGCATTTGAACACAGAGCAGATGATGGTGACTTTGCAGTGGTAAAGTGGAGTGTTGTCCATTTATGATGATCTCTTGCATTCAAACAGTATGTTTCTTATGTCTAGAAGAATGTTGACAAAGATGTCAGACTCCATAGAGGTGATAACAGGCCTCTGTGGTACCTGAGGAGGTGGAGACTTTTTGGTTACCACATGTGGAATAAACTTTGGCTACAGAAATTGATGGAACTAAGATTGGAGCAGTACAGCCTGTCCCTCTGTGTATTAATCCACACAGTTTTGTGACAGGCATCTAGATGCCTTGGAATCTGTTTCTGTATTGTATACCTTACACTGCTGGATAGGTCTGAATTTTTGGTACAAATTGGAAGTGAGGCAGAGAAGACTGATATTTCATTTTTACACTATTGGATAAGTTTAATTTTTTTAGGTTCAAGCAGGAAATGAGGCAGAGGAGACTGATAATTTGTTTTATTACCTTTCTTATGAGGGGGCTGTTGATCTTTATTCTGTACATGTTTAAAGTGTAGATACAGAATTCATTAAAATTCCAGAACCTTCACACTGTCGCATCCACAGAGACTGATCTTCCACTTCTGACATTAACAGGAAATAATAGTTCTGCTGCTTCATCAGAAATGGAGCAACGAAGCACATTCCGAGAGAGGGTACAGAGTGTGTCGCGTTTCCCTGTGTGGCACAGCTCTAGAACATCGAACATTGTCTTATTTTATTCCCAGTTCTTATGCCAGTTGTAATGTAATCGATATTTCGAGCAGTTATTCTTCCACTGCCCATAACCACTTATGCTGTTGAGGTCAGGTCTTTGTCCATTTATTACCCTCCAGCAGTATTACGGTTCACCCTCCGCACTCACCTCTTCTCCCTTATCACTGAACTGAAGTGGAAGCTTACTACTCTTAACTTGCAGACTCACAGATTGTACAGACTAACTGAACACTGACAGACCCCTAGCTCACTGTCTGCAGTCCCTTCTCAGCAGCTTCTCTGCTGCACTCACCGAACTCGCTTGAGGGCTTACAGGTATTTTACAGGCATGGCCACCCTTAAGAAAATTTCTAGTGACAGTGATATTGGCATATGGCATCAGCTGAGAGGTTTTCCAGAACGTACCATAATGCATTAGAACAGGTCTTTGATATTGTGACAGAATGGCTAAAATCCAGAAACTTCAGAATTTCAGAATCACAGAACTGTCACAGAGGCATCCATTACTAAGTAACATCACGGTAAAATGTATCTTTGACCACAGATATGAGTCCAGCAGTCAATGTACTGTTGAGCTCATCGTCTAAGTAGTCCACAACAGGGTGATACAGGGAGAGCTTGTGAGTTAGCAAGAGAGTCTGTGACAAGGGGGTCTGCAGCCTGTGGTGAAGGAATACCAGGGAAACAAACAAGAATTATCTAACGGACTGTGAATGATTGTATTTTTTTTTTAATTGTACATAAGCCCATCCAGTGTCAAATAAAAGCCAGTGCTTAGTAATGAACACCATTGTGAAGTCTGTGTGATTGCAAGATTCTGAAGTTTATGGACTTTAGCTATCCTGTTACACCATTTTTATTGAGAGGGAGGCACATGCAGGCTATGCAACATAACCAGACTTCACACTTGGCTGACACAATAACGCAGTTGGTACCAAAATCAGTGTAGCAGAGATCTCATTGATGACACTGGATTTTTCTTCTTACCAAAGGTGTAAATGTATCCTCAAAGATGTTCTAGACAAATTTTGTACAGTACACTCTGTAAGTTAATAGTTTCAGTCACAATGACAGTACAGAACCATGAAGTTATTTCTGACAAATTTAATATAGTTGGAATCAGTGTTATTGAAAATTATGACCATACATTTTATATTTGTATAATTTATAGTTTTATTGGTCATACCACACCAACTTAAATGTCAGAAAGAAAGTACGCTTCATTTTTTGTGTGCTAGTGGTTATATTTACAGTCTTGGTGACAGTGCAAGACTTTGAAGACATATGTGGCAGATTTAATATAGCTGGAATGGGGATTAATGGACATATGTCATAAATCATGTAGTTATTAACTTATATTTTCTTAGCCATGTCATACAGACTGAAATGTTTGAGGGAAAGTAGGCACCTAAGTTCTTCCCTAGATTTCATGTTTCCATGTTTATTAATAGTTCACCTGTCATTTTCTGTTCTCTCAGTTTCTTCACATCAGTCCTGGACAGTATGGCTGAGAATACATATTCTGTTTCAGAACAGAAGTAGATGGTGATATTGATCTCTATTCTTTGTTCTTTAGGAAAGGAAATGACATTGTCTGAACTTGCGGAAGAGGTTGCAAGCTTCTATGCCCAGATGTTGAGCCATGACTACACAACTAAGGAAGCATTCAATAAAAATTTTTTCAAGGATTGGCGGAAAGTTATGACAGAGAAGGAGAAGGAAAAAATAACTGATCTTTCGAAGTGTAACTTCAAACATATGCATAAATACTTCGTAGCCAGGACAGAGGAGCGCAAGGCAATGAGTAAAGAAGAAAAGAAGGTACTGACTTATTGTATTTTTTGTAATGTTTTGAAGTGATCAGTTCAGATGGATCATACCAGTGTTTGTTGCAAGCACTTTGTATGTGTAAGGGTGTGCCAGAGTAATTTGGCCCTTTCATCACAACCATCACTGATCTCTTGTGCTTTTGCAATCACTTTTGTGTTAATATTTGTGTTAAATTCCAGTCATACTATCAATACTACTTTAAAAGCAGGTATTGGACTTCACACCCCTCTTCCTATTTCAGACTAGGAAAGTGTAGTATCTCCACTCACCACAAAGATATGAAACTAGCATGAATTTTCATACATGTCCCCTGGGTAGTGCAAAAGGAGCAACAAACTTGGCAAAGCTTCCCAAAGGAAAAGTGCAAACTTCTTCAGGATGCAACAAAGCAAGAACTTGAGTGCTTTCTACTGGGAACCAAGAAGCAAAATGTGTTAAATGATCCCAAATGCAGCCATTGGAAACCAGCAAGCAACTAGCATGAATTTAATTGAAATGTCATCAGGAGGTTGTTGTACTTACATCATCTACTTGGTTGCACTGTACTTAAATTCACTTTGATCTACTGTTATACATTACATGAGGAGTACCCAGAATTCATGATTTTACTGAATATGCATGCTGTGAGCTGGCTGTGTCCAGAACAGACATCTTGGTTCCAAGTCCCACAGGACTCATGACCATATTTTTCTGTCTCATGACTGTGCTAGTCATGCAGCTACTCTTCAAAAGTTCTGGAAAGAGATTCTGTTATGTTAATTACTGGTCTTGAGAGAGTAACAGTATACACTAAGTGGTGCTGCTGTCTAGAAATATGCTCTTGACTTCTTTAACCCTTTGACGTGGTCATTTAAATTCCGCGGCCGCGGCTCCTGCGGTAATATATTCAGCCGGCCATTTAAATTTTGCTCCAAAATTATTTATTCATCATTGTTCTTAAATTCTATGAGATAGGAACATGAAACTTTCACTAAAATGATCTTAAATGGTGGTTTTATAACCTTACCTTATAATATGGGCGCCCTGTATCTCGGCCATGGAAGCAGGTTGTTTAGTATTTCAGCAGTGAATGGTACGCCTTGAAGGATGAAACTTTCACTAAAATGATCTTAAATGGTGGTTTTATAACCTTACCTTATAATATG